TGGGTGATGGGTATTGAGGAGGGCATCTTTTGGGACGAGCACTGGGTGTTGTATGGAAACCAATTTGACAATAAATTTCATATATTAAAAAATAAATAAATAAATAAAAGGCTCGGGGTAAGGTTTGGAGGAGGAGACTGCTACCCTTTTAAGAAGGGAATATTGAAGGACGCAGTAGGAGGGACTTTGCTTGGCCAGAGCCTGCTTAATTAAGAGAAAAATGTCCAATCAGGTTTGACAATCTGACCCATTTTCTCAAAGAAGGCTGACAGATTTCACTTGCATGCATGTCCCAGATGCTTAGGAACTTTCCAAGCTCGGGTTTGGTAATCACAACAGCAACTGGGCTGGAACTGCTGCATTGCTGGCTGGCAGGCAGGGGTGACAGGCTGCCTGCTCCCCCTAGCTTCACTCTGACACTGTGAACTTTGCTGATTTACTGGAGAAAAACACATGCCACACATGGGCACACACACACTTCATATTTTCAAATACCTTACAATAAACTCCCAAGTCAACTCCTGTGACATCAAGGCTGAACCTCTAGTGCAAGCTTCTGGAAGTTGTTTTCTGTACCGACTGAAGGATGGGAATGTCACTTTGCAGAGTTCGAACAGAGGCATCTTGTTGCCACACAGAACTTTGGTGACATTAATGCCCGACGTGTTCTACCCCTGCCTGGCCACTGGACACTGCCATCTGGCATTCTTCTAGTAAAAGCCATTGTTGTGAGGGGTTGGCTCGGGTCCCTTTTGAGATGCTTTGGATTACCATAGCCAAGCCTCCCTTTGTTGGTAGCACAACAGCTGCTGTCCAGTGGTCCACTCGTGATGGTTTTTCACTGTTATTTTCAGCGTGCTTCTGAGGAAAACTGTGTTGTTGGGTAGATCCGCTCTTGCTCTGGGAAGTCAGAAGCTCCCAGTCCTAACCAGTCCTGTGACCTCAGCTAAGTTACTTGACTTCTCTGTAACTCAGTCTTTTGTGTGTGTGTGTGTGTGTGTGTGTGTGTGTGTGTGTGTGTGTGTGTGTGTGAGAGAGAGAGAGAGAGAGAGAGAGAGAGAGAGAGAGATCTTGGTGCATTCCAGTTCTCAATCACATTTTTGTCCATGAAGTTGCTTAATGATAGTCATAACATCCAAGGTGCTGCTGCTTAGATCGTTCTTAGACCCTGCCCCTGCTGACTGACTTGGGCTCTGAAGAAATCCAGATTGCTCTGCCACTAGATCCCTGAAATTCCAGAAAACGTACTTAAAACTTTTGCCAATGGAAATGGTTTGCAGATTGACCAGGCTTCATTATTCAAGTGTTAGTATAGTCAGAATCTGGCCTCACCGTACCTCCCCTGTATGTTTTTGCTGGAGTATTGTTTTAAAACGTTTGTTTACTTCTGAGACAGAGAGAGAGCAGGTGCACAAGCAGGGGAGGGGCAGAGAGAGAGGGACAGAGGATCCAAAGTGGACTGTGAGCTGACAGCAGAGAGCCTGATGCAGGGCTTGAACTCATGAACCATGAGATCATGACCTGGGCAGAAATCAAGCGTCAGAGGCTTAGCTGACTGAGCCACCCAGGTGCCCCCCCTTGCTGGAGTATTTTAGAGCAAATTCCAGGCAGCGTATTATTTCATCTCTAAGTACTTCAGTATGTTTTTCTGGCAAATAAAAAAAAAAATTTAAACACATATAACCAGAAATCTATCCTAACACCTAACACAATTAAAAATAATTCTGGGATGTCTGGGGTGGCTCAGTTAAACCTCCACTCTTGATTTCAGCTCAGGTCATGATCTCATGGTTCAGGGGATGGAGCCCTTCGTTGGGCTCTGTGCTGACAACACAGAGCCTGCTTAGGATTCTCTGTCTCCCTCTCTCTCTCTGCCCTTCCCCCGCTTGCACACATGTGCTCTCTACTCTCTAAAAACAAACTTAAAAAAATAATCCCATAATATCATCTAATACCCAGATACTGTTAAATTTCCCTCCAGTGTCTCACAAATAACATTTTACTTCATATCAGGATTCAGACACAGCCTACAATTCTATTTGGTTGATATGGGTTTTTGTGTTTTCTATTTAAAAAAAAAAAAAAAAAAAGCTTTATGGAGATGCAGTTTACATACCATATAATTTGCCCATTTATAATGTGTGGTGTTTTTAGTGTATTCACAAGATTGTGCAACCATCACCCAATCTAATTTTAGAACACTTGTCCCTCCTGATATAAACCATTTGTCTATTCACAGCCACTCCTCAAATCCCCATCCCCACCCCCAGCCTCTGCAAGCACTGATCCTATCTATAGGTTTGCCTATTCCAGAAATTTCCTATACATGATACCACATCATATGTGGTCTCTTGTAATGGACTTCTTCCACTTAGCACAGTGTTCCCATGTTGGCTCTTGTATCACACTTAATTGCTTTTTATTGCTGAATCATGTTCCATCATATGGATCAACCACATTTTGTTTATCCCTTCATCAGTTGATGGACATTTGAGTTGCTTCTACCTTTTGGCTATAACAAATACTAGGAACGTTCATATACAGATGTTTGTGTCAACATGTTTGCATTTTTCCTGGATACATGCCTAGGATTAGAATTGCTGTCTAATATTTTGAGAGACTACCAAGTTGTTTTCTACAGCAGCTGCACCATTTTACATTCCCACCAGCAATGCATGATTCCAATTTCTCCATATCGTTGCCAACATTTATTGTCCATTTTGTTATTGTAGCCCTCTTAGTGGATATGTGGTATCATACTGTAATTTTCTTTTAATGTCCCTGGTGGCTACTGATATTAGGTATATTTCATGTGCCTTTGGCCAATTGTGTATCTTCAGAAAAATGCTTTTACGGATCCCCTTCCCATTTTTTGATTGGGTTGTCTTTTCATTGTTAGGTTGTAAGATTTCTTACGTATTCAGGATATAAGTCCCTTATCAGGTACTTAATTTGCAATGTTGTCTCCCATTTTGTGGGATACTTCCTCACTTTCTTGATGGTATCACTTGGACTTAGGAATTTTTTATTTTGATGTAGTCATACTTTTTCTTTTACTGAATGTGCTTTTGTTACTGTATCTTAAGTCCTGGTCTAACTCAGGGTCATAAGGTTTTATTCCTATATTCTGTTTTATCCCTATATTCTAGGAGTTTTACAGTTTTAGCTTAGATGTGGGTCTCTGATCCATTTGGGGTTACTTTTTGTGTTTGGTGTGAAGTAGAGGGTCAACTTCATAGTTTTACTTATGGATATCCAGTTGTCTCAACACCATTTGTTAAAAAGACGATTCTGTTCCCAGTGAAAAACGACTCCTTTGCGGTAACTTAACCAGCTATAAAGGTAAAGGTTAATTTCTCAACTCTTGATTCTATTCCATTGACCTGTCTATTCTTAGGTCAGTACTCCACTGTTTTTATTACTGTAGCTTTGTGGTAAATATGTTTTTTGAAACTCTTTTAATCGGTTACTATGTCCTCTTTTTCATATCTACCACCAAGCTGTTTATTTGTGAGGAACCTGGGTTCTTTTTATAGAATTGCCTAACTTAGACTTGGGCTTATTGTACCCTGGTGGTATCACTTACCATGTTCTTTCTTCTCACTTTTTGTAAACCAATATTTAGATTTAACGTCTTAATTAAATTCAGGTTAAATTATATTTTTACTTGCTCTTTATTGCCAAGAATACTTCCTGGGTGGGGCTGTATATTTCCGGTTACATCAGTTAGGAGACATGTGCTGTCTGGTTATCCTACTATGATTGATAACAAAATCGATTAAGTGGGTTTGAATCAGACTGAACCATCTACTATAAAGCTCTCCATTAACTTGTCACTTACTGATTTTAGCAGCCACTCAGCCTTGTTTTGATCTATTGCTTATTTCATTAGAAGCTATAAAATGATGATTTTGGACTCCTTTTCTACTTCTCTATTGGTTAGCTTTGTTTCTTGCCCTAAATCAGTTTTCAGTAAGAGTTGATGCCCTAGCCACCTATTAAGGTGACCACTGATTATTTTAAAGGATCTTTATGGGATTTCATAGATCTTTGTTTTTACCCATTGTGGTCATCAATTTTTATGACATTCTGATTGCCCCATAGCATGAAATTAGCTATATGATGTGTGGCATTTGCTTGAAAATAATCCTGGGGAGGGAATAGGTGAAGTCAGGAATGGCCGTGAATTAAAATTGTTGAAGCTCCATGGTGGATTCATCATCTCTCTTCTTTTTGTAGAAGGTTTTACACATCATCCTCTTAGTGGCCCATGGTTACCCCTTGATGTCAGTCCAGTGTCCTTTTTTTTTTTTTTTTTTTTTTTTT